AATCTGGGCCTAGTGCTCTCACTTAGCTTTTTGTTGTTGTTGCTCAAGGTTGGCACTCTCTCACTTGAGCCACTCCTTAACTTTTTGGTGGTTAACTGGAGATAAGTCTCTTGGATTTGTCTCTGAGGACTGGCCTCAAACCCACATCCTCAGATCCTAGCCTCAAGAGTAGCTAGAATTATAGGTATAAGCCACCAGTGCCCAGGTCAGAGTCCTGATTATAGGAGCTACTCAACTCCTGCCTTCCTGTGCACAAATTACTCACTGCCAGCCTACTGCCCAGTGCTCACCTAGTTTCCACCTCCCACACCAAATTTGAGTTACTCTCAAAAAGAATAGGATGCAGACCTATATACTCACAATATACCCCAAATGGCAGATAAGATGAACATGTGAATTAAACACCTTAGCCCTCAGTACCCATGGAGAGTGGTTTTCAGCACCTCCATGTTCACAGCTTCCTTTTGGAGACCTGATCCAGCTTCAGTTTACAGAGCTGATGACAAAACTGCTACTGATTGCCTTGGCAACATATCCATTTGCTAAAAGTGGAAATCAATTCAGAGGGTTATTTTAGATTTTCTCTCTGCCAGGCCCCTTAGACTGATTTAGGAAATATTTGGAAAGCAATTGACATTAATTCCCTAGAAGTAGTAGGAAACAGCTTGATGCATGTTGTCATGTTTTTAGTAAGTCCAAGGTTAGGATTTTGTTTTCTTAATATAAATCAAAGATTTGAGAGCCATTAATGTTCTTTAATATTTTCCACTAAAGTGTTATTTCTGCCTTAAGCCTTAAGTTATATTTATTTACTCCTCTTGGAACTTTATTGGTTGTAGAGTGGTGTTCCCCGAAATTTATAGATCGTTCTAAGGAAATCCTAACTGTAGATTTGAAAACAAAGATTAGTGTTTCAAAGCTAGAGTGTATAAATTAGGTCAAATCTCAATCCTGCTGGGCATCAGTAACTCATACTTGTAATCACGAGGCTGAGACTTAAATATCAAGATTCAAAGCCAAGTCAGGCACCAATGTCTCATGTCTGTAATCCTAGCTACTCAGGAGGCTGAGATCTGAGGCTCACAGTTCAAAGCCAGCCTAGGCAGGAAAGTCTATGAGACTCTTATCTCCAATAAACCACCAGAAAACCAGAAGTGGCACTGTGGCTCAAGTGGTAAGGGCACTAGTCTTGAGCTGAAGAGCTGAGGGATTGCACCCAGACTCAGAGTTCAAGACCCACAACCTCCTCCCTCTGCCCCCCCAAAAAAATTCAAAGCCAGCCTAGATAGTCAAATGCAAGACACTCTTATCTCCAATAAACTATCAAAAAGCTGGAAATGGAGATGTTGTTCAAGTGGTACAGCACCAGCTCTGAGCAAAAATCTAAGCGAGAGCATGAGGCTTGAGTTCAAGCCCTAGTACTAGCTCAAAAAAATAAATGGATTAAAACTAATTGAAAAGAAAATCTTTTATTTTAGGGTCCCAGCGAAAAGAACGGAACCCAAACGTCATAATTGATACTTACTGTGGTTTTGCTTTTTTTTCTTTTATCAGATTTTGTTGGTAAATGAAAGAAAAGAAATAATAGACATGTTTTCCAAAGTGAATCTAAGTACTAGACAACTTACAGAATAGCCAGATGCCAGAAAGGGATTCTTAGCATTTTGTTTCCACGTTCCAACTGGGTGATCAGAGCTCTCTTGAAAAGTTATCTCAGAACAAGGCTATGGTGGCTGTAATCCTACTGAGAAGGCTGAGATTGGTAGGAAGTCAGCCCAGGCAGGAAACTCAGTGAAACACTTAGTTCCAATTAAATACCAAAAACCTGGACATGGAGCCATGACTCAACTTTTTTTTGGGGGGAGGGGGGGTGGGGGGGTCCGGTCGTGGGGCCTGAACTCTGGGCCTGGGCACTGTCCCTCAGCTCTTCAGCTCAAGGCTAGCGCTCTACCACTTGAGCCACAGCGCCACTTCCGGCTTTTTTCTTTTTGTTTATGTGGTGCTGAGGAATTGAACCCAGGGCCTCAGGCATGCAAGGCAAGCGCTCTACCACTGAGCCACCTTCCCAGCCCCCATGACTCAAATTGTGATTGCCATCCTTGAATCAAAAACCTAACCAAGTGCACATAGTCTTTACTTCAAGCCCAGGACAGGCACACTTACAACAAATTTAAATGTTATCTTGGTTGGTTGGGTTTTTCCCTTATAAGACTATAAGTTGTTAGGGTCACAGTACTGAAATAAGAACATAGCGCATATGGGTTAAAGATCAGCATTGTAGAGAAAATTGGAGCAGAGATGGGAGGTAGGTGGTCACCAGAGGGACTTCTTTGTTCAGGAGGTGTGTGTCACTGCTGATCCATGTGGCAGGCTGACCTGTGACCACAGGCCTGAAGGCAGGGAGTCCACAAGAGATGTTGTGGGATGTTGGACATTTCCATGATTACTCATCACTGAATATAGAAAACTTTTTTCCCATAGAACTTGTGAGTTTGTGTGCACACACACATGCACACGCATGCCAGTACTGGAGCTTGAACTCAGGATATGAGTGATGACCCTGACTTCTTTGCTCAAGGCTAGCACTCTATCAGTTGAGCCATAGCTCCACGTCTTGCTTTTTTTTTTTCTGGTTCATTGGAGTCTCATAGGCTTTTCTGCCTGGGCTAGCCTCAAACTGAGATCACAGATCTGTAGCTAGCTAGGAGAATCCCTACTTCTATTGCACCCATTCAACAATATAGAGACTTCTTGAAAGCAGGATGTTTGCAGAGGGTAAGCCAACGCTATGTTTTGTGCCCCTTCCTCCCATGCAGTCACCCAAGTACATGTTAACAAGATTTCCTGTGATCAGTGACTGCAGCTTACCTAATAGATACATGTCGTATCATACAACATCACACTTTAAAAAAGGGAATGAGACAACACAGAGAGAGAGAGAGAGAGAGAGAGAGAGAGAGAGAGAGAGAGAGAACGAGCAAACAAAGCGAAGTTAGGCTAATTAAAATTAAAAAGAGAGCCAGCACTGGGAGCTCGCTACTGTAATCCTAACTACTCAGGAGGCTGAGATCTGAAGATCATGGTTCAAAGCTACGCTGGCTTATCTCCAATTAACCACCAGAAAACCACAAGTGGCACTGTGGCTCAAAGTGGTAGAGCACTAGCTTTGAGAGAGAGAGAGAGAGAAAGCTCAGAGATAGTGCCTGGGCCCTGATTTTAAGCTCTAGGACCTGTACCAAAAAAGAAAAGAAAAAAGAAAATTTCCTTTCCACTTCCCAGTGCAGGATAGTGATGGAGTCAGAGCTGAGCTTTTAAGTCACTATCAGCAGGCACATGAAATCAGGGTGATGACTTAGATGTCCCCAGCCCCAGGGGCAGGAACTGAAATCACCTTTCAAAGCTGCAGACCTGGGGCTGCCAGAAGAGACCTTGGGAAAGAGGGGACCAGGAACAGAGCTCGTTGGTCAGAGTCTACAATTATTTGACCCTCAAGTTCAGTTTTCAATTAAATCTCTTTTGGTTTTCAGTTAAATCTCAGCATCGCTGTTGGACGTTTACATCTGGCTGCATAATGGGGCTGTGCACAAGGTATACATCACGTAAACACTGGTAGGACTGGAGCTGGGAGAAATTGCTTACAAGATCCACATTCCACACAACCTTTGGCCATGTGGTTTTGTTGAGAAACAGTGGTGACATGGTCATCTCTCACTTGTCCAGACCTTTAACCCTGGTTTGCTCTATACTGTCTTACTGCTGGCAGGAAACAGGAAGCCATGTACTTCCCAGAGGTGTGGTGGAAAGGTGCATTCTCAACAACTGATTTTTGTTGGTGGTGATGGTGTTCATGGAACTTGAACTCAGGGCCTGCGCGTTGTCCCTGAGCTTTTTCACTCAAGGCTAGCACGCTACCACGTGTTTTCCGGTGGTTTATTGGGAGATGAGTCTCAGGGACTTTCCTGCTGGGACTGGCTTTGAACTGCGATCCTCAGATCTCAGTCTCTTGAGCAGCTAGGATGACCTGTGACCCACCAGAGCCCAGCACCATTCCACTATTTTAAGGAAAGTGGACCTACCGACCACGTGCTCCAAGGGAAGAGCAGCTCAATGCCAAGAACGAATCTTTTCCTTTCTGCCTCTCAAGTCCAAAGAGGAAAGTCGGGGGAATGGCTCAGGTGGTAGACATTAAGGTGGAAGGCCCTTTCTGTGGAGCTTGGCTCTCGAACTTTCGGTACTGAGCTGCGTGTGAAACACGAGGAGGAGTGATTAGTAGTAGTTGCGGGAGCTGCGGTGGAAGGGCAGAGGCGCCAGGGCACGGGTCCTCGCCCCGAGGCTGGGGGTGAAGCGGGCGCATCAAGGTCGGCAGGGCTATTCAACAGGATCGCCTGGAACAGTCGGCCCTGCCAGCGCCTCTCCCCGGTTCCCGGCGCGGGTGTTGTTCCCAGGCGAGGAGGACGAGCGCGAGCGCCGGGTACAGCGTGTGTCTGCGGGGAGAACAGCAGCGCTGCGGGAGGAACTGGCTTCCGGGGCTGCGTCTGTGCGGGGAGGAAGGGAGACTCCTCTCGGAGTCCCACGCCTCACCTCGCCGTCCGGGCGCGCGGTCCTCCCGCGGCTTCCCCCGACCCCTGGGCCCCTCATGGCCCGCGAACGCGGGAGGGCCGCCCGCGTGGCCCGCGGAGCCCGACAGCGCGGCGCCCCGCCCGCGGCCCTGGGGGCGGGGCCGCGCCCGCAGTGCGCCCCACGCTGCGCGCCCCGCCCGCCCCTCGCGACCTGAGTGAGCGCGCCCGCGGGCCGGAGCCGCGCCCCGCCCCCGGGGCCGGCCGTGCGCGGAGGCTCCCATCCGACCCCCACCCCCGCGCAGGGGGCGGGGCGGGCCGCCAGGGGGCGGGGCGGGGCGGGGCGTGTCCGAGCGGGCGGGGCGCGGCCCCCAGCTCCGCCGCGGCTCTGCGGGTCGGTCCTGGGCCAGGCTTCTCACTCCGTCGCCCGCCGCCGCCGACGCCATGGCGGCCCCCGGCTCCCTGGCCGAGTGCGGCTACATCCGGACCGTCCTGGGCCAGCAGATCCTGGGCCAGCTGGACAGCTCCAGCCTGGCGCTGCCCTCCGACGCCAAGCTGAAGCTGGTGGGCAGCGCCGGCCGCAGCGGGCAGGCGGCCCGGAGCCTGCGGATCCAGGAGCAGGTGCAGCAGACCCTGGCAAGGAAGGGCCGGGGCTCCGTGGCCCGCGGTGAGTGGAACGCACCCCGTCCGGACCCGCCGCCCTCCGGGGTGCGGCACCGGGCTTCTGCCCACCTGTTGCCGGTGCCACCTCCGGACTGGGGACCCGCACACTCGGGGAGCGGCGGTCCCGCCATGCCCCTGGCGGGGTCTTCCCAGGGCGTCGTCGGTGTGCATGCTACGTGCGCGTCTCCATGTGGAAGAACGCGAGGCAAAGGAGTTCATCCGGAGACCGGAGTGTCTGCCTACAGCTAAGCAGAATGCTGTGCATGATCTGTGTTTTTTTTTTTTCTTTTTAAAATCCTTACCTCCATGAATATTCTTTTGAAAGACAAAACCCCACTGCCCTTCCTATCCCCTGTAATTCAGGAGAGTGCCACTTCTCCCAGGTAGTCCAGAGCAGTCTGACCTAGGAAGTGATCCCATTGGGTAAAAGGCTCTGGCCCTGGCGCTGCCCCGCTCCTGGGAAGAGGAGGAAGGGGACTTTGGCCTGGCTGGCAGCATCCTGTGCTGTAGTGCAGGCTGCTTGTCCCCACCCACCCAGTGCCACGCATGTACGTGTGGGTGCAGGGCTTGTATCCAAAACATGAAACCCACAGTTTTAGCTGTAGGTTAGGGAGAGTTAGGAGGGGAGGATGGCAAACCAGTTGTGAAAATTAGCTGAATGTCATGCAGCCTTTTCTCCCTTGCCCAAGTGATCAGAAAGACAGCATGAAGCTTTAGTGAGGTTTTGGGATGTTCCTGTGCCAGTACTGGGGCTTGAACTCAGTCAGACCCTGAGTGCTGTCTTTCTAGCTTTTTCACTGAAAGGTGGCACTTTACCATTTAAGCCACAGATTCCACTTCCAGGTTTTTGCTGGATAATTGGATGAAAGAGGCTCATGGACTTTCCTGCACAGACTGTCTTCAAATTGCAGTCCTCAGATCTCAGCTTCCATAGTAGCTAAGATTACAGGCTTGAGCTACCAACATGTGTCAAGTGGGTTTTGTTTTAAATCATTATTTTAAAGTGCTGTAGGTTTCTTACAGAGAAAAGGGAAGATTAAGAAACAGAAGTTTAAATTGGGTTATCAGTTTTTTTCCACACTATTGAACTATGGACATAACTTGGTCAATGACCAACTAGAGTTTAAAAAAGTATACAAATACCCAGACTATAGACATAAACCTAAGCTGTAGAGCCTTTCTATAAAGAAACCTAAACCATCAGGCCAGCATTAATACTTACATGCTTGAAAAGTAAAAAAAAAAAAAGATGATGTTTGAGGATTGTAAGCCAGTGTTAGCTGAGTTACTACACTGGGTCCAGAATCATGTTCTGTGATGTGCATTTTCAAAAAGAGAATTGGGAGCTAGGTATGTTAATTCCCATTTCACTATAAGCAGCCCAGTAACCCTCACATTTCCACCTAGATTAAGTAAATGGCAGAGCTGGTTGTTTAATTTCCAAATCTGTATTGTTTAACAAAACATGTAGTTGTTCAATGTTGTCTCAATTCAAGCTGTTAGTTTCTGAGTACAATGCATTTGCTCAGTGTCATCCTTTCCACTGTTCTCCCCCATCTCTCCCAACCCCACCCCTCCCTGGTTCAGTTTTCACACTTGTACTGTTGAATATTATCACTTATTCACCCATCCTTCTCCCTCCAGTTGTCTGCCCCTTCCTGTGACCTCCCCTGTAACACATGTTTCAGTTTTCTGGTACTCATTTTGTTAAACTTTTAGTTATTCAAAGGAGCTACACCATTGGAATCATCCATTGAGTATACTACCATCCTTTAGTCAATTCCTTTGTGTATGTATGCAGATGACCTTGTGCATGCCGAACCTGACCTTTTCAACTGCTCATCAGTTATATCATTAACGGTTTTGATTGTTAGTATGAAGTAGGAATTGTTAGAATGTGGAGTCGGTTTGTGGCTTCCCTCCAGTTTTCTTTAATTACAATTTGAAAGGCTAAGGAGATATAGACTGCAAATATCTGCCAAGGTACATGATTAAAAACAACAGCCTGGCGCTGGTGGCTCGCTCCTGTAACCCTAGCTACTCAAGAGGCTGAGGCCTAAAGATCACAGTTCAGAGCCAGCCCAGGCAGGAAAGTCCAAGAGACTGCTATCTCCAGTTAACTACCAGAAAACCAGAAGTGGCAATGTGGCTCAAAGTGGTAGAGCACTAGCCTTGAGTGAAACAGCTCAGGGTCAGCGCCCAGGCTAAGTTGCTAGGAGTGAGGCCCACCTGTGAGCAGCAGAGCCATGACACCCTGAAGCCTGGAGACCCACAGGTCCAGGGTTAAGCTGAAACTAAACTGGGGCACAAATTAAACATGCTCACCCAGGAAGAGACTCTTACCCCAATTAGCCAGCAAAAGACAGAAGTGGAAGTTGGGTCAAGTGATAGAGTTCCAAGCTTGAGTGAAAAAGCTAAGAGACCCTATCCAGGTTCTGAGTTCTAGTCCCAGTCCCAACACCACCACCCCTACCCCCCAAAAAACTCACAAAGGACAGACTGGTTGTCTTACGGGAAATAATCCTAAGCAAGCCACAAGAACAGCTAAGTCATGGAATCTAGACATGTAAATTTCTTGAAGCTATAAGGAATATGGAAAACTTTCTCAAGTAATTGGTACTCTGTGTGTGTGTGTGTGTGTGTGTGAGAGAGAGAGAGAGAGAGAGAGACTCAGAGTCATGTGATCATAGTCTCCCAGACTTTCCTGCCCAGGCTGGCTTTGAACAAATAATTGGTATTTCTAACTCTCAAAAAATCAATAGAATTGGTCTTAAAGTGGTCAGTAAAGACAGATCCTTCTTGAAAAATCCCAAGAATAATCCATAGTTCAGAGAATTGTTGGGGGAGAACAAAGGTGTGCCATCTTAGGACTTGTGCTAATGCTGGGGGTAGTTCTTCCAACTAAGGAACAAAGCCTCTGAAAGCCTTAGATTTCAACAACAGCTTCCCTGTAAGCTGCCATTCCCTTGCAGCCTACACGGGAAGAAAACTCAAGCATGAGGAAGAAGAAATCCAGAATGCGTGCATGCAAGCCGGGCTTCTGAGACTCCAGAAGGAATTTAACATTTCACACGCCATGCAGTGATTATCAGGGTTGTTCATAAATGTTCTTTAATTGAAGCTTTTTGAAAAGGTCTGGAGTTTCATGGTTGTACTTTGTTGTTGTTGTTGCTGCTGCTGGTGCTGCATACCTGTCTCTGAAGTTGCAAGAGACAAAGCAGTTGTTGAAAGCGACAGGGTCTCGGGTATCAACAGAAGACCTTCTGGGCTGGAATGACCCAGTGTTCAACTGCTGTTAGGCAGCCACAGAGCCCTAGAGAAGCCCCAGTTGCTGGCCTACCAGAAAGGATGAATTAGCTGTGGCTAATCTAAAAAAAATTAGAGTGACATGAATATAGCTAAGGTGTAGATAAAAACTTACAAAAGAGTCTTTAACCTTCTTTCCGTGGTCTTCATAAATACGTGGGTGGTTTTATAAATCACCCATTGACTTTTGGTAGTAATTTGTTATGCTGAGCATTTTAAGGTTGGCTGTTACTCTGGTGAGGGAAGGTATGGCATTGTGTTGGATGCCAGTTGTTAGGAGGAGGAGAAAGGAGGAAACAGGCCGGACTCAATCTTCCCCAGAGGAGACTGTTTATTGAGATAGAGCATCGAGGGGCACAGCCTTCCCTCAGGCTTGGAGACTGTGCAAAGAAGTGGGACAGGAGTTGGGTTTTATTTTTGAGGACTAAGTAAGGAGCCAGACGTTAATGAGAGGTCTAGAGAGGTGGGGGGCTTTTGGTTGGGTCACAATGGAATGTTTGCAGCCAGGCTTAGGTGGATCGCCCTCCTGTATCAGGCACTCTGCACATATCTTGGGTGGCTGGCCTGTTGTCTGTATGCACCTGGGAAAACAGGGTTGGGGTCAGCCCTTCACCAGTGGCTCAGATCTGTCATTCTAGCTACTCGAGGTGCTGAGATCTAGAGGATCCTGATTCAAAGCCAGCTAACGCAGACTCATCTCCAATTAGCCAGCAAAAAGCTGGAAGTAGAACTGTGGCTCAAGTGGTACACCATCCATGAGCAAAAAAGTTAAATGGCAATGTCCAAGCCCTGAGTTCAAGTCTCTGTACTGGAACAAGGAAAGGAAAAGAAAGAAAAAGTTGAAAGTCATAGCAAAGAGAGAATTAAAAATAGCCCATATCTTTTATATTACACCTTAAAAGTATCCCTTTATTTCTTACAATCCCCCCAAGTGTGCTTAAATGGGAAGCATTTGTTTTTTAAATTATGGTATATAATGCTTAGAACACAATGGAGAATATATCCTAATGCAATTTAAAACTTGTTTGGAAATCTACTCTTAAAAATAATGCATCTTTTGTCCTTATATTATCTGTGATGAAAATGCTTTGAGTATTTGTGATCAGAGAATTCTGATTCATTCAGGGGGCTGGGAAGGTGGTTCAGTGGTAGAGTGCTTGCCTTGTATGCATGAGGCCCTGGGTTCAGTTCCTCAGCACCACATAAGCAGAAAAAAAAAGCCAGAAGTGGCGCTGTGGCTCCAGTGGTAGAGCGCTAGCCTTGAGCTGAAGAGCTGAGGGACAGTACCCAGGCCCAGAGTTCAAGCCCCAGGACGGACAAAAAAAAAAAAAAGATATGGGAAATTACTATAAAGAGAAGACCTTTGGCTTGGGCTGTTTAAGAGATTCTGTAGTATCCCCCACACCCTAGGTGAGGGGTTCCACCGTGAGATTGAATGAGATATTCTACATAATTGCTGTGTAGTAGCTCATCCTCAAAATAAAACTGCAGGGCTGGGAATGTGACCTAGTGGTAGGGTGCTTGTCTAGCATGCATGAAGCCCCAGATTTGATTCCTCAGTTCCACATACACAGAAAAAGGGAAGTGATGCTGTGGCTCTAGTGGTAGAGCACTAGCCTTGAGCTGAAGAGCTCAGGGACAGCACCCAGGCCCAGAGTTCAAGCCCTATGGCTGACAAAACAAAAAAAGCATAGTTCT